GGGGGGGGGGGGGGGGGGAAGGGAACACCTGGCTCACGTTGTCCATTTCACAGTTCTGTAGCCGAATTGGGCATAAACTGACACAGCGTCCCCCAGAGCGCGGTCACTGTCGATTCCCAGCTGACTGGCGGGCCCCGGGCTCTGAGGGGTGCTCTCACCTCACTAGACCTGGTCAGCAGGCGCCCCTTTAATTATTTCACGGCCGGTGACAGATGAGTTCACTTAAGGGCATCCTGCTTGGCCCTTCAGTGTGCGAGTGAGGATATCGTGACACTTCCTAGAGCATCTCAGCAATGTCACACGTCGAGGGTTTTAGAAGTGTGCTTTCCTCCCCTTGACCCACGAGGAGCACACTCTTTCCAGCCCTCAGATTTTAAATAAATGCAATGAAAGAAGCTCTTTTCAGGCCATTATTTCCCCCTCCACGATGGTTTTCCCCCTTTTCCATCACTCGGTCTATATCCAGCTGGGCAACAGCCAACAAAGGCCATCCCAAGACAGAAGCACATCCATTTTTCCAAATGACACAGAGATCTGTATACGCCATTCTTTAGCACCTCAATGAAATACTTTGAAACAGAAGTCGTTCACTGTGTTTTTGATGATCTGTCTATAGCTGAAGCATACTCCTGGAGAATGTGTTCAAGTAATAGTAGATTATCCTGCATGCTCCATTATAAATGTCTCCTAAGAGCTGTTCGATGCGGAGTCTGCTCTGGAATCAATTCTCTCTTCCTCTTAATGACCTTGTGTGCTTCCTTATCCTTCAAACTAAATCACGGCCTCTGCCGGTCTCTGCACGCTGGCCTGGAGACTGGACGGTAGCTGGAGGCAGGCAGGCTGCTCTGTCCTGGGCACGGCCGGTCTGGCTCCGCTTCCAGAAGGCTCCGACTGACACAGCCCGGAACAGAAGCCTCCTCTTGTTTGTTCTGGCCAGCACAGCTCACGTTGGCCCCCACTCCGGAAAGGTCCTTCAAGAGCTGCTTGCTACGCGGCAGGCAGAGGAAGCCAGAAGCCGGGCCGGGCTGGGGCGGGGGAGCCCCCGGCCGCCGGGCAGAGTTGGCCAGTTGGGGACGTCCGCATGCACCCCGTTGGGTTCTGCGTCTCTCTTCTGCACCTGCTGTGTCCTCACGGCCCCGCTGGGCAGGGCGGCCATAGCCGGCACCTCTGTGCACTCAGCATCTCCATCGGCCCTTTCTGGTTAAAGGTCCTGGTCTTGACAATCCTCTGGGCTCTGCGCGTGACTCCCCTGGTGGCCCATGCCGTGTGTGGAGGCGCCCTTGGGAACCAGCCACCCCACCCCTCTTCTTGGCCTCCTGGAGCAACCTTGAGCAAGGAAGGTGTGGAAGCAGCCCGGGGGCCCGCAGGGTCGGAGAGCCGGGCCCGAGGCCCCCTCAAGTCCCGACGGACGCTCCCCCCCCCACCCCCGCCGGCGGCCGCTCTGGGAGCTTCCCATTCACACGTAGTTGGTGAGTTTTCTAGAACATTTATTTTTCAACCTATCCCTTTTTTTTTTTCTATTTCTATTCTCAGCGAGTTTGTAATTTGGAGACGGGGTAAGTGGAAGAAGAAACAGGCCTTCGTGGCCAAAATGGGGGGGCTGGGGTCTGCCCCGGGGCCGCCGGGTCCCTGAGACTCCTAGGGTGAGGCTCCCACTGACCGTCCCGTTCCTACTGATATGGGTCAGAATCCCGCCCGCCCTCTCTCGTCACTGTCTGCCTTTAAAGTGTGTAAAGCTTCATCCGTGGGAGAAACTCTTCATGATCGAAAACCAGAGTGCGTTCAGGATGTGTTTCGTTCCTTCATAGTTTGCCCGTGGGTTTATAGGAAGGCTGTGGACGCCACAGGCACGGGTCTTCGTCCTGATGTCATTTTGGGTGAACCGCACTGAGGGTTTGAGGAGCATCTCAAAATAGTCTTTGAGGAGATCCCCGATCGTCTCTGGGCTCGGGGGTTGGTCCCACCGAATCGGGTGCGTGTGGCGAGTACGTGGCCCCATCCTGAGTACGCAGTGCTGTTCCGGAGGACCCGTCCTACAACCACACGTGGGCACAGAAGTTTCCGACCTCGCCACGGCACGTTACGGAACTCCAAATATTGCTTTGACGATGGCGTTCCGGGGACAAGCGTGGGGGTTCCCATGAGTCCCCTTCTGTCCCTACCAGTACGTCCTCTATCTGGTGATAAGCCATGGGCATGCCCCGGGCATGCGTGCAATACGGCAAGGCCAACACAAGAGCAATATTGAATTGTTCATCCGATCTACGATTATATACATATATTTTATGTGTATATATATAAAATTGATCTTCTTGCATTTTTGAAGTATAAAGTAATACATTGTACATACCTGTAAGCTGGTACATTTGTTTCACCATTTCTAACGTTTGAGAAATGCTCATTCTTTGTAGAACAAACAACTCTTCAATATTTTCAGAACTGCTCTGTGATACTTCATTTCCTTGTCGAGATTGGTAATAGGTTGCTCCTGCGGAAGCTCTCTGGAAACATCCATAAGTGACGGGACACGTGTCAACCCTCAAAGCTCCATCCTGGAACTCGGTCCCCCACAAAGACAGTACGTGGACAGAGTATTTACAGAGCATGACTTTTATACGTGTGGGGTATCAATGTGTATATTTATATTTCAGGTGTATTTATGGTTACAATCCCATTATCTATTTTATGGACTCTTCAGTTATAAAAACCACACTTGCATACCTGTTTCTAGTTGCCGGTGGTGTTCTGAAAATAAAGAAACCGATTGAAATAAAGCTTCAGTTCTGACCCCCTGGCTGGAAGGTGGTGATGTTTCTGGTTCTTTGGGGGGGGTGGGTGGAGGGGGTCCGGTGAGGGTCTTAACCTAGTTCTCTTGAAGCTGCTTTGATGTGCTTATCTCTGGACAGGAGGCTGTCAGGCAGGCCTGGGGTTGGGGACAGTGTCTCCAGGAGGTTTTTTTGTTTGTTTGTTTGTTTTCCCCAGGTGGTCCCTGCCAGTCCTGGAGGGTGAGGTGGGAGTGGGTAGGGGCTCCATAGGAGTGAAGAAAATCTCCCTTTTAATCCCTTGTCTCCTGCTCGGCCCCCGGCTCCCTGGCCTCCTCACCAGTCCAGGCTGTTAAGTGGGTTTGGTATTGAGAAACCCCAGTGCTGCTTCTGGACCCAGTTCCTGCTTCTGGACCCTTGATCCTTACTCCTCCTCCTCATTATAATATAATCCTCACTAATCATAGTATAAGCCTTACTCTTGGTAACACGGGAAAAACAGATCAACAACTATGAGCAGGACGAAACCCTTCCTCTGCCCATGACCCGCTTGGTGACCCCTGGGCAGGTTTTTAGCCTCTCTGAGCTTCTGTAGGGTGGGAATTCGCATCCGCAGCGTGGGTGGCCCTCACGATTAAATTAAGAAGCGCCAGGCACTTAGAGCCCTGTCGTCACGTACTGAGCTTTCCGGGGAAACAAACAAACACCCTCAACCGTGTCGGGCTCTGCCCGGAAGGTTTGTGACAGTGTGAAAAACTCACCCGTGCAAGCGCCACAGTCAAGGGCAACATTCAGTTTCTTTAAGCCTCTTTAATGGCTTTCCGGGTGGTGCTCTTGGCATGCCCCCTCCCCCACCCCCAAGGTCATTATCGCTACATTATTCCGGGTTTCTCTGCTTATGCAGATAATTGCAATCAGCAGGCCCCATTAGGCCCCATTAGAGGGCATCCCATCCGGTACTTATCAAGCTTTAATGTGCAGCTAAAGCTCTTGGAAGGCCTTGTGACTCCCCAGAGCTGGAGTCAGCAGGGCTGGGTGGGGGCCTGGGAACCTGCATTCCTGTTAGGCTCTCGGGTGCTGCCGATGCTGCTGGTCACGGACCGCACTTTGAGGGCAAGGTTGCCCTCCGGTTTTTTTTCCTGCGCCTTGGAGTCGCCTGGAGAAGCTCGGAAGCCCACGGGTCCTCCCTTTGCCTCAAGCAACATGGAGGATGTGAGCCCAGTGAGGAGGGCAAAGGAGACCGCCAGCTGCCGGCTGAACCTCCGTAAGGAGGGAGGGCCAGGGGTTGGAGAAAAACGGAGTGGAGACAGGGCCGCTCGTAGTGAATACGCAGTGACATCTACGCAGGTTCTTTCCCGGGGCAACAAAGGGCATCGTGTGGATGTGACATGTTCACTGCGCTCTTGTCAGAAGTTAGGCCAGCAATCTACGGACGAGAGCGTGCTAGCCTCAAGAGGTACCACTCGAAAGGCCCGAGTGCTCATCAGCACCGAGTGCACACACACACACACACACACACACTCGCTGAACCGTAGTAATAAATCAGCCCTCAGAGTTAGGTACTCCAAAGTGCCCCCAATACCCCTGTGACAGCCACAGGGTAAATATCGGCAACTCAGAGGGCGATGAGGAGGCAGGCTTTGTCTAGGACGTCACTGTTGCTGTAAAACTGTCAACAATTACAAAGCGGTGTGCCAAAATGCGTCACCGTGGCCCGATGTGACTGCTTCCTCTGCTCAGAAGTCCATCTCCCTGTCCCGTCCGTGCACGGAGAGCTGAGTCCCACATC